GAGTATATCTTTTTTTTAATTTTTTTTTTTATCATTACAAATTAGCTACACGATCAAATTACTCAATTTATTTTTTTATTATTATAGGATCGAACTATTTCAATCTTTAATTTTATCTTTTTAATGATTTGCATGCCGAATTCATAATGTTAGAATCGAATTAATTCAACCTTTAATTTTATTATTTTTATTATTACGAACTCTGCATGTATGTCTTTAAGATTAAACTATTTGAATCTTTAATTTTATCTTTCTAATGATATGCATGCTGAATTCATAATGTTAGAATCAAATTAATTCAACCTTTAATTTCATCATTTTTATCATTACAAATTTGGCATGCATATTCGTTAGATCAAATTAATTTAATTTTTGGCTTTCCAAATTAGACATGTAAATATTTAATAAAATAAAATGATTTATTTATTTATTTAATTTGATTGTTTATACATATATTATTAAATGCATATATATAATATTTATTATTTAAGATAGTAAATATATAAATTCATGATAATGATTTTATTAATTGATTTTGCATACTGCATATTTTTGCATTGTTTTCAAAAATTTACCAATTATGAGTTGATTCTATAAATTCAATTTTATAAAATAAAATAATAGAAGTATAATAAATAACAAAAAAAAAATTGCAGACCACAATTTGAATAATTAGCAATAGAAATTACTATACTATGCCACAATTGTTAATCATATAATATGCATTAATCTTTAATATATATATTGATATTAATCAGTATTGCTATTTGCACAAATATCGTAATAAAATAGATAAATTTATTACACATTTTATGTGTCTAAAATGTAATTACACTGGTCTACTCAAACTCATAGTCCACAAATAATTAAAAAAACAAAATCAAAAATCTCAAAATGAACCCCACTAATTCCACCAAATAGTACAATCCACAAAAAACATTAGCAATGCATTACACCTGCCACACCAAAAAAAAGATATATTAATCTGAAAGAAAATAAAAACTTAATACTAAATACTGTATATGAAAAAATTTAATAAAACATGACATATAACAACAAAAAAAAAGAATATGAAATACTCTCAACAACCAAAAACCATATTACTAGCGAGGATATAACAGCTTAATCTAAAAATAAAAAAAAAAGCTAAAACAAAGAAATGCAAAAAAAGTAAAACCATGCTAAAAGGATACAAAAAAATATACCAGGAGAGAAACACAATAATCTAGCTGGTAATCCAAAAGAAAAAAAAATTAGTAATCTATTAATAATACTATTAGGTTATTCAGAATATTGCTCAAATACAAATAAGAACAAGCTATAATACTAAGTAGCAAGAAAAAATATATATCGCTCAAGATCAAGAATTTCATAACTAAATTGAATTGAATAATTATGATTAAAAAAGGAACCAATGATCTAGAAAATAAAAACTTCACAAAAACACTATACAAAAGCTTAGCTTTACTTTACTTGCTTCAAAAACCTTAGAGCTAATTCAAACAATAGGAATATAGCTTTGTTATGGTTAATTTTGGGTTAGTAATAAAGTTTTTATGTCAGTAACAGGTAACGTTAAAAGCTTAATTTCATACATTATAGTTACACAACAATATCACATTACTAGTGATTTAAGCCGTAAGGTTTTAGTCGGCTGGCTAAGCCAGCTGACTAAGATATCGGCTAATCGGCTAGCTAATAGCTATACTTCTGAAAAATTTCCGTAAACTTTTCAAAAATTTTGCTTATATTTTATGCTTACTTTTTAGAATTTACCGGAATCCACTATATACTAATTTTTAGCTATATTAGCCAGCCAAACATATTACATTGGCTGGCTTAGCCAGCTAAGCCGGCTTAGCCGCGGCTGCCTTAGCCAGCTTAAATCACTACACAACACTATGATTACGTATTATATACGTATGTATCACCTGATTTTGTTTATATTTTCTGACCAATCAAATTATTATGTGACTATATCGAGAGTGATACAACTCGCAATAATCACTGGGTTCAGTGATCTTTAAGTGTCCCAAAATTTTTATTATTATACTATATAATGCTATAGCAGATATTCATTATAATGGACAGAATTTCTCAGCCTGATCACTATATTATAACGAGAGTGAACTGTATAGTTAATAACTAGGAAAACAGGTGCTGTTGTAAATCTGGCCAGAGCAAATTAAAAAAAATATCACTTATGTGATTGGTCACGTGAGCAGACAAACCTCTAATATGCATGGATCTGCAGATCATATATGATTACGTGGGTGGACAGACAGACAAAAGTTGGAATATACTAAGAAACAGTTTTAAGAAACTGTTATAAGTCTGGAGTGAATAAATTATCGAATATAGTTATGCATCAAAAATGTAACTTTGTCATATGTGTAAAAAGACATCTATATATATCACAAATGCAATTTTTGATATACTTTACTTGTTTATTAATTGATGATTCTTGTCTGAACTGAAGAAAAATTTCATATAATATCAACCAAAATGTTTTCTGAAATAGCAGGATTTTTTACTAAGTTAATAGTTCATATAAATTAAGTAAAATTTGTAGAGCCCTTCGAGACGCACCTAATGGTAGTTAAATCGTTAAAATTGGTCTGGTGGTTGTTGAGATATTGTTAAAACCAAAATTTAACTATAGGGTTTGTTTATATAAAATTTTATATAGTTGACCAATAGTTTTTTAGCGATATTTTGGCAACCATTAAACCAATTTTAACGATTTAACTACCATTAGGTGCGTCTCAATAAGCTCTACAACTTTTAATTATTTTATATGAGCTATTAACTTAGTAAAAAAAAGTTTACTTTGGACAAACGGCAGATTCATAATTTTATAGTAAATTTTTGTATAATACAAAAATTTACTATGGATTGAATACTTGCCAAAGAGGGCCTAAAGGATGATCACTACATTGACTTGGAAGTATACGAAGTAAGTGTTGAATTTCTGAACCGAGAGCAGGCCAATTCAGCATGGTAAGAATTGTTACAAGAAAAAAAAATTTTCAAAAAAAAATTTAAATTTGTTTTATAATTATTAAATATGTAATTACAATATCATAATTAGAAATACGTATTTTAAATCAATTTCTTATCATTGACACAAATGTGAGATTAATTAATATTTGTTATCGATTTTCATAAGTAATTGCTATTAATACTAATCTAATCAATAAGTAATCACCCATCACTACATGCATAGTATTATTCGAAGACATTCCTTCCCGTTAGATTTGGCTATGCAACTTTCAAAAAAGGCAAAAATAGCCAATATAAGGAAGGCTATGAATATGTTTAAAGAAGTTTTTGTTACTAAACAAAATGATACTAATTCTAACAAAGAGTATTTATTACTACACAACTAAGATTAAAGTTTTTTTACTTCAAATTTTTGAAAAAGTTTATAGGAATTTTAGAAAAAGTAAAATTATCCAGATGACTAAAGAAAAATGTCGATTTTATCTTGCAGGTTTGAACAAAAAACAAATGCCATTAGGATTTAGTAGTGACTATATCCTAGCAAGAGATGAATGTGACTATTGTAGCACACTTTTAAATCTTCCAAGTTTGAACCCTATCATCCTTGTATGCGGCCATAGATATTATGAAGCTTGTTTTAATATTTTTTCCCAAAAATGTTTTCATTGTTAGTTTTTTCTTAAAAAAAGTATTCAACTAAACGTTTCTTCTTTAATTATATGATTAACAAAGCAGGACAACAAGAACCTTGTAGAAAGTAATCACGAATCTAAACGTCAAAAAAAATCAAAAAATGTGGAAACTGAAGATTTATCTTTAGAAGATAATATCCTTGCACAATTAGAAAAGGATAAAAGTGCATTAAATAGAGTAGATAAAGCTTATAAAATAGCTATAGATAGATTTTTAAATGTATAATTGTATTTACTTTTATTTTAATAAATTTTTAATAAATTTTTAAGAAATTTTTAATAAATTATTAAGTTCTAAATGCTAAAAATGGTCAACTAAAAAAGAAGATTAAGATGTTACATATAAATTTTGTAAGAGTTAAAGAACTTTGTATATACCATTTGATATTCTATTCTAATAACAATAGGCTTGTACCAATACTTATATTTTACATATTCCAGTATTCGAATATTATAAACTATTAGATTAGCTAACTTTGGGTTAAGTAGTAGGTAGATATTATTTATAAGCATTATTATGGGCTAAAGGCTATATCACATCTCTAATAAAGGTCGCAATGACTAAAAATTAGATATGGTTATTTTAATTCCTTTTTAAATTATCAAATAAAGAATAACTTCACTAATAATTTATTCACATATTAACTTTTTAATGAAGTTTTGGTTTATTAATAATAAATATCACATATACTCTACTTTACACGTATCTATCTATTCTTTAAATTAAGTAATAGATTATTTTGCATGTATTTATTTGTTTGTAAGCTTCTTTAAACGAAGTTTTCTTTCGTTTTCTGATATTAAGATGATAAACGTAATTTGATTGGTTAATTATCACGGGCAATCACGGGTAGATCTACAAAAATTAACCAATCACAAGATTGTCTGCTATGCTAATACACTATATTTGTAATTAGACTGATGTTATACACCCCAGTGTTTCCTGCACACAAATATGTACAAATTCTGCTCAAAAAAAGCCGAATAATCTGAAAAGGCTGAATTATTAACCAATTACAATTGAGAAGATAATTGTTATTAGTAAGCAGATTATGCAGAAATATCCAAACAAAAGCAGTACCTTTCGATCGTGGGCTTTATCTCTCCCATCGTTATATCTGAATCAAAATTTTATCTAATATTCGGATTATCCAGATCGTCAAAATACGTATAAAAGTTCCATCTCTAATCCAATGGAGAAATTTGTAAACTAGTACTTTCGTAACTTTCGCAACTTTCGTAACTTTCGTAATGTCTAGTCAACGAGTAACCCTTACTCGAGATGGTCCTTTATTTATTTTATCAATGAAAAATGGTGAAAATCGGTTTGACTCTAATTTTATCAATGAAATAAACGCTATTTTGGATGAAATTGAAAATATTATTAAACTTGAAAAATCTGAACGTGCTGCTCTTATTACAATCGGTGAAGGAAAACTTTATAGTAATGGTTTAGACTTAAAGCACGCATTAAGTACTCCCGGTTTTTTTGATAATTATTATTTAAAATTATTGGTCAGAGTTTTGACCTTTCCAATTCCAACCGTTGCTGCAATCAATGGTCACGCTTTTGCTGGAGGTTTCATGTTTGCTCTGGCACATGGTGAGTTTTATTTATATATGTTAATATTTAAAATTTTAAATAATTTTTTATTATCCCAATTTCAGATTATCGTGTCATGCGTGCTGATAAAGGTTTCTTGTGCATGGTAATTTCGCTCCTTAAATTTAATATTTTATATTTTAGTTGAAATTCCATTCTGCTTATTAACCTTCCCTAATTTTGTTTTTCTTATTAGAACGAAGTTGAATATTCTCTTCCACTCCATCCTGGTATGGCCGCGATAGTTAGAATTAAAATGTCTCCAAAAACTTATCGTGACTGTATATTACATGCCCATAGATTTAATGGTCCAGATTCATTGGACCAGGGACTGGTAGATATAATTGCTTCTGAAAATGATGTACTACCTAAAGCAAAAGAATTGGCTCTTAAATGGTCAAAATTTGCAAGTGCAAGGCCTTTTTATGGAAAGTTGAAAGAAGAAATGTATGTCGAGGGAATCAAATATTTGCAAGTTAAAAATTGGGATCCAAAATTATAGTTTAGTTATTATGATTGTAATTTATAATTATTATTAATGATGACTTTAAACTTAAAATTTTTTATTAATCAATAACATACAGTGCTTGACAAATGATGAATTGTATCTCTTTATATGTGTATTTATATTGCGTCGTTAATCTTAATGCAAAAGATCTCGCGTCATTAACTAAGGATCTTGTAACAAAATTTTGTGTTTGCAAAGCACTAACTAATTCTGATGAGATAAAAAAAACAAAAACCTTGAGACTGATTTCTCTTTATATACTTAACTATAATATTTTAGCATTAAATTTTTGTTTTTTTTTTTTTTTATCTTATTTAGGGTATTTGAAATTTTCTTGCACAACATAACATATTTACAAAATTGGTTTGTAATATTTGACCAATTAAGATTTAGTTCAGGTGTAATATGATAAGCTTGAGTTAGAATTAAAAGGATATTAATAAACATATTTGAACAACAAAAAAAAAAAAATTTAAAAACAATTAATATATTTTAATATAAACTTCTTTTAAAAAAATATCAAAAAACTAATTAAATTATCTAAATACAATTTTTTTTTTTATATCAAGACTATTATTACAAATACTATTTAAACTTATTATTTTTTTTTAATAATATACAAAATTTTGATATTTTTTAACTTTTAAATATTTTTAAATTAAAAATTAATAATTAAAAATTTAAAATTATTTTTAACAAAAAAAGTAGCCAACAAATTTAATTTGAAATTTAAAATAAATTATTAATATAAATTTGATTTTATTTAAAGAAATAAACTTAAAATAACTAGTGGTAATCATCACCATCCCTAATTATTTTTAGGGTTAGAGTGTAGATATTAAAAATTATTTTTTTTATATATAATATAATATAGAGCTAATAAGGTCCTAATTTTAGTTTTTGTAGGGTTTTCAGGGTCCTAAACATTTTTACTTAGAGTATCTGATTCTGTTTACTTAGTATATTTTTGAGATATAAGCACTCTGGTGATAATCACCACCAGTTATAGTTAGTAATACTCTTATTTAAAATTATAAATTTTTTTTAATAAAAAATTCAATAGTATTATTAATATAAATAAACTTTTATTAGAAAAATTTTTAACAAAATCTAGAAGTATTAAGTTTAAAATTTAATATTTTTAAAAAATTGTTATATATAACTAGTAGTAATTATTATTATTAAGAATTTTAGAGTTAGAATATAATTTTTTTTATATACTACTAGCAAAGCAGTATTACAAACTATTTACTCCTTCTATACCCTCTTCTCCCTATAATTACAACTTCATGTTTATATTGTTCTCTAAACTCTAATATTATTATCAATAAATGCACCATCCTTATTCCTGCTAGTTAGGCTATAAAATTCTTTAGTAGATCAAACCTTGACAAAACACTCAATTTTAATGCTAACTATCTGGACTTTCTACATTTAATTATACTCTCAAACCCTAGTTCTTCACCTCTTCTACCAAGTCATAATATTTCAACTTCTTAAATGCTTTTAATTTTTTAATCTAGTTTTGCTCTTGATGCATTACAAAATATTGAACTCAAAACAGTATTCTAAATAACTTCACTTTTTATACTGACAGCTCTGTTATAAACATAGATAACCCAATACTCTATGAATATTGGCTAGCTACAAATAATTAATTAAACAATACAACACACTTTCTAAGCCCAAATCAAATTCTGGTCCTGTTTCTTTAAAGCCAAACTGTTAGCAATCTTATTAGCTATTAGCACAGTTTTTTGAAACTCTACTATTTATATCTATACTGATTCTCAATTAGTTATCTTAAGATATAACAGCCTCTTATACTCCAGAATAGCAACAAACTTTTCAAATTCCTCATATTGGTTGGCCTAAAAAACTCTTCTAAATCTTCTTCATTATTTAATTTTTCAATTACTTTTTAAAAGTTCTAGTATATTAGAATAATAAATTTAATAATAAAGCTAACAAACTAGCTCGTAATTACTCTCATACACCAATCCTTATTCTTAACACCTGCAATATGTATAATGTTTAATTTATTCCTCTTCTTAATAACCTTTCTCTTAAGCTCTCTGTTTGCCATAGCATCTAAACTAACTGCTATACAAATATTCTTGCACAATGGTTTTTACAATATTATTTTCAATAATAGTCTTCTCTCTCTCAGGATATTTATTAAAATGCTACTTGGTGGCTTTATTTTAACAATAATAAAAAAATTTTAAACTTGCACATAGCTTCTAATCATCAATACTTAAAACTTTTAGAGTTAAACTACTATTTAATGACCTTTCATTCTCACATATTCTTCATAAAAAATACCCTTCCTACTCCAACTCTTGTTATATCTGCCAGCAACCTACTAATATATTGCATTAGGCATTTTGCACCTCTTTCAATGCAATATTAAATCTCCTTAATACCTTCCTACATATATCTTAACCTCTACCAAACTTCAAATTTCACAAACCCAAATACACTACCTTTTTAGCCAAATTAAAAATATTAATAGCCTACAAATATATTCTTTTACTTTTAAATCATCACTGTTTTCTATAGTTTCTGGCCTCATTCTACTTGATATTATAAACACATTACAAGAATACACCTCTTCTAATAATTTTGCTAGTTCTCTTATTATTTTTTTTCTTTATTTTAATCAACAAATTTATACAAATATTTGGATTTCATATTGTACTTCAAGATCTCAATTCAATCTTGCCCCAACTAGTAATAGTAATACTACTTATTCTTACTAACCTCTTATTCGATTATACTAATTGAGTTATTACTAATCTTGGCTTTACCAATTTCTACTCTGTTAGAAATGGTATTGACTAAGGTAAAACAATTACTGAAGAATTTATTATAACCCTCTTATAGCATATACTTCCTTATACTTTTCTGGTTATACTCTCTCCACTTCTTGGCAAACTAGTCTTCTACACCCCTCTATCAACTACCTCAATACCTTTATATCAGTTCTAGCATACATGGACAATACATTATGGATTGCCCAATCCAAAGAACAACTTAATAAAATTATCAATATTACCTCTTCTTTTTACATCATGGCAGACATTCAAGTTAACTTTACAAAATCAATATTTATTACAACCCAAATCCCATCAAACTTCTCATTTCTTAATTCTAACCTCCAATCTATTCCACTCTCCCAGCTTTTTAAATTTCTAGGATATTGGTTCACTCTTAACAACAAACAAATCTCTCAAATCAAACTTATCTAAGATAAAGCTATTAACTTAGCCAACATTGCTAGTACTAAAAATATTACTGACAAACAAATTACTTATATTATTAATACTATCATTATTCCTACTATTGAATACCGAATTTATAATATTGTTATTTCTCTTTCTACATACAATACAATTTTTAGCAAATATCTTACTATTGCCAAACACAAAGTATATTTTTCTTGCTCTACTCCTAACAGTACTCTTCTTAACCACAACCTCTATAATATCTACAATATACAACTCCAACATCATATTAGCAATTTTCTTACTTGTATTAATAACACATCTACTCTTGGTACAACAATCCGCATCTGACTCTAACAACTTCAAAACAATTTCTGGTCTACTACTAATATTCTTCAACACCCCCATTCTATTATTGATAGTCCAAATAAATATTTTACAATCTTTAAGATTATACAACTTTTTAATTATTTACATATTTCTATACACTCTCATCTTGATACTTTCTGGCCCAAAATTATAAATGATAACAACACTTCACTTGAAAACATTCTCTTGAACTACCCTAAATACAACACCTTCAAACAATAACTTTAACACAAAAACATTCTCTATCTTGAACAACTTTGTTCATCTAATAACAATACTCTTTTAAACTGATTACATCTATCTCCTAGACTTCTACACATTTTCAAAGAGAAAAAACCACTTTGGTTCATCTATCTAGAAGACACTATCCTTGACAACAAACTATATTGAACTATTTTAACCAACTTTCAACCTACTGGCATTAACCTATTTGCTTTTCAAACCAATTTACTTTTCAAAACCCACAAACTCTGGGTTTTTATATACCTCAATGAAGATATTATTATTGGTCAAGTCTGGAAAACCTTTTCTCAAACCAACACTATTTTAATAACACACTAGCAACACAATATTGACATCTTAACTTCATATTACTATTCATTATCTTCTATCTCTTGCACTTCTTGCCAAGATTGTAGTCTTAACTTCAACCACATATCAAGCTATTGTATTTTAGAAGTATTAGCTATTCTTTCTACCCAATTTTTGAAAAGGAAAAAAGCCAACAAACAACTCAACCTTAATACTAATTATATAGATCTTATCTGTTCTGCCAATATTAAATGTCCTTTTAATATACCACTTCACCTATTGTTAATATTACTGATTTTATTATTTCATCTATCTTCTAGAACAATGATACCTCTCTACAACTTGCCCAGTTTGCTTCTGCTAACTTATTCCAAATCCAATTTATCTTCTATACAGATAGTTTAGTTAAACAACTTGGCACTAATCAATACTCAATAGGTATTGGCTAGGTTCTAGTTCATAACAACCATGTTATCCACAATTTCTCTGAGCAAATTTCTAATTGGCCTTCTTTCTACAAAGCTAAACTACTAGCAATACTATTTGCTATTTCAACACTCCCCCAAAACTTCAACATCAAAATATTTACAGACTTACAATCTATTATCTCTAAATATAACAAACTTCTATCCATATCATCACACTCTTCCAAATATCTTAAATTTAACTCCTGGCCTATCTGGCACATACTTCTTAATATTTTAAAAGCCTTTAATATACAAATCTCCTTCTATAAAGTTCAAGCACACTCTGATAACTCCTTTAATAATCTTGCAAACTTACTTGCCAACAACTACTCCTCCTCCCCAATTTTATATTTTAACCATACTAATTCTTATAATTCATACTCTAATTTACTATAGAAAGAATGTTTTGTCAAAAGTCCTACTAAACAATTTATTAAAACAATTTGCAAAGCACACACTATTGTCCTATGGTCTTCACAATACCGTATCCAAGAATGGTCATATTTCTCTTACTTGATCGACTAAAAAGCCTCTTGGTTATATTTCAACAACAATCAAAAAATTACACACAACTTTACCAACTCTAAATTAAACTACTTAAAAGCTTTCAAAATAAAATTGCTTCTTAATATGCTGCCAACACATATATACTTCTATTCCATATACCCTCTTACTTTTATACTTGATAATTGCTTCTCTTGCAACTATTTAGACACTCCTTTTCACTAGTACACTTGCCCTGATAATACTATTCTAACTCAAACTATTAACTTCTTAATACAAAAAATTATTTTTAACTCCAATTTCAATCTTTCTACACACTAACTTCATAACTTCATACATACCATCTCCTCGCATGCTTCTTTTATTTCTTTACCTTTATCTCTTTACTCTTACTCTCTTCATTCCGCACTTAAAGGTCTTATATCAACACCACTAATCCAGGCCCTAGACTCTTTTGACATCTTATACTCTAATGCCTCTCAACTTATTATACAATTTCTGACCAATTATATTATAAAATATAGATTCTCTACTATATCAACTTTTTCTACTAGTAAAAAGCTCCCCTTATCCTACCTTTAATACAATATTTAATCTATTTGTACTCTCTTTATATAAAAGAAACAAAACTAAATATACTTATAACTGCTCTTGTGGCTTTGCAGACCAACTATATTCTGAATCCAATACTTGTTCTCCTCTAGGACAAGCATCTACCAAACTTAATATCTGGTCTACTATGTGGATTAGATATAGCACACCTATTAACAATATTCTAACTATTCAAATCTAGATGAGT